CGTCTGCCCAAGCAGGGTGCGGGGCGGGACGAGCTGGCCGTCGGGTGCCAGGCAGTCAGTGAGCGGGTAAGTACTGCCATGGACATGTGGCAGGCTGCTGGGTATTCAGAGCCGGGAAGGGCCCATTGGGCACACCGGAGCCCAGGTGACAGGAACCGAGGCCGGCAGGGCAGAGCTGGACAGGCCCGGGCCCTTCCCTGCCTGAGAGCCACGGAGGCCTGCAGCCCACCCTCGGCACTGATCTGTCCCCTGCCTGCCGGGAGCCCCGGGGTGGCCTGGTTGGTCCAGACGGGGCCTGGGTGCCCAGTCCAGCGTCAGCACATAGCACCTACTAGGACGGGCGGGCAGCCTGGCCTCGCGATGCCACAGCGGGGCTGCTCGGCCCTCAGGAGGCAGGGACTGGGGCTGTGACCCTGGGTCCCAGAAGGCCGCAGTGCCTTCCAGGGTAGCCGTGAGCTATCAGCCTGGAGTGGGACCGAGGAAGCGCATGACGGGGAAACCGAGGCAGGAGGAAAAGCTCTTGGTAGACCTGAGCCTCTCCCAAGACAAGGGGCAGAGCGGGGCTCACGGGGGCAGGCAGAGCCCATGTGGCCTCCTTCCCCTGCCCCCTTCGGAGCCTTCGAGGCAGACAGGTGACCTGCTTTCCAGAGGACACCGAGGGTCAGAGCAGGCCGGAGCATGCCAGGCCGCTGAGGCTGGGTCGGACCAAGCCTCGCCTTCAATGAATGCCCAGTGACCGGTCCCAGCCCCGTCGGGGTCCTGGCAGCCCCCTCCCCTCCCTGGCCCAGTTCTCTACCCAGAGTCGTCCATGGAGCTCCTCTCCCAGGCCCCCTCATCCTGGTCAACCCCCAGCTCGCCCTTCCTCTGAGCCCTCTGCTGTGGGGGCAGGCCTCTGGGGGTGTGGTCTTCCCAGCATGGGGGGGATGTTGGGGATGGCCAGCCAGTGGGGGAGCCCGCAGAAATCTGCCAACAGAGCAGCAAAGCACGAGTCAGAGCCGGGCGTTCCAGCACTTGCTGGTGTGGGGAGCCGGGAGGAGCTGGGCCTCGCCCCAGGGCACCACCAAGTGGGCGAGGGACAGGCGTCATGGCGATCCCGGGTGCCACCACAGCCCACCCCCACCTCACTCCCTCTGGCGTCCCACCCTGTGATCTCCCTGCTGGTGGCCAAGGAAGGCCCAGGGCTGCCGATGTATTGGGCCATGACGAGGCCTGGCGGCCGTGATGGGGCGTGGCAGGCATGGTGGGCCTGAGTATGGCCCCTGCCCTCCACCGGGCCTTCCTCCAGCCCAACTCCCTGGTCTGGGCTTGGCCTGAGCCCCAGCAAGGACGGTGTGGCCCTGGGCAGTGGCTGCTGGTCTGAACCCCCTGCCAGATGGCCTCACTGCTCTGGGGCTGGTTGGTCCTGCCCCCCTGGACAAAGTGCCAGGGCCTCGCACTCTCAGAGGGGCGACTCAGAAGCTGCTCTGCACTGCCCACACTCCCTGTCCCCTCTCCCTGTCCTGACCGCAGGGCAGCCCCGCAGGGCCATGGGACCTGAGTGTGCCCATGCGCAGGGGAGTGAGGCGCACCAGCCCGCCTGCCTGCCCTCCCCTCCGCTGCCCTGCCCTGGCCCTCTGGTGACCATGGGTGGGTGCAGCAGCATCTGTCCGGCCCTCTGCAGGGGTCCTGAGCCCCAGCCCCGACCACAGCCCCTGTGTGGTCTCCAGGGGAGCCCCTTTGCTCAGGGTGGGCTTTAGGACGAGCTGTCCTATTCTGCCGGGTCGCGCGGGGCGGCTAGACCAGCAGGCTGACGGCCCTCTGCAGCTGCAGGCCCGGCTTGCGAGCACTGAGGCCCGGCTGTGGAGGTCGGAGCTGGAGAACAGCGTGGACCTGGAGGAAGCCCTGTGCCGCCTGGAGGCCGCCGAGCAGAGGTGAGGCCATGCTGCGGTGGCCTTGGCGCCCCAAGCTCAGTTCCCTCTGCCAGCAGGAGGCCGAGCAGGCAGGTGAGGCTGGGCCTTGCCGCTGCGGGAGCCTGTGGCTCTTACTCAGCTGGCCGCTGCCTCCTCCCAGGCCAGGCTGAGTGAAGACAAAGGAAAGGTCGGCCGCCGGCCAGCGCAGGTATCCACCCAAAACGGCCGCACGACAGCACCCCACTTGGGAGCTCGGAGAGAGGGGGCCCATGCCACAAGGACACAGGCTGCAGCTGTCCCTGCTGACAGAGCCCCTCCCACAGCGTCGCTCAGGGGCAGGAGGAAGGACCTGCCGGGTGCCCGACCTGGGCAGCCCAGGCGAAAGGCGAGGCAGTTTCACACCTGGTGGCCCCACCCTGCCCGCGGCCGTGGGCTTCGCAGTCATAGAGGCCCTGACCCCTTGTTCCTGAGTGGGCCACCAGGACCTCAGGCCTGGAGAGGCTGACGCTCAGGCGGCCCTTACAGGTCAGCTGGGCCTCGAACCTCTAACTGGCACCCTCACAACGGCCCCCACTCTTGGGCCCTGGTGGCTGCCAGCTGCTCCGACGTCAGTGAGGGTCTGTGCTCACCACAGCCGCCCCGTGTTACCTAGCAGCCAGTGCGGGTAATCCCAGCCTCCCCCGCACCCCCGCACTAAGTCAGCACCCCAGCAGTAACCACCTCCCCAGCACTAACCCAGCACCCCAATAGTAACCCAGCACCCCCGCACTAAGTCAGCACCCCAGCAGTAACCACCTCCCCAGCACCAACCACCTCCCCAGCAGTAACACAGCACCCCAATAGTAACCCAGCACCCCCGCACTAAGTCAGCACCCCAGCAGTAACCACCTCCCCAGCACTAACCCAGCACCCCAATAGTAACCCAGCACCCCCGCACTAAGTCAGCACCCCAGCAGTAACCACCTCCCCAGCAGTAACCCAGCAGCTGCAGCTTGCACCCCCCACGGTCCCAAAGGGGACAGGCTCCCAGCAGGGCAGTGGGAGGGTAGTGTGCCCAAACCCCACTCAGTTCAGGCCTGGGCAGCTTAAGCTGCCTGTGGGACTCCCAGCTGTGCACCTTCAGAGATCTGGGGGTGGCTGAGGGCTGACTAGCATTTTGGAAATGAATTTTTTTTTTTTTTGGAGAGGTTTTTGCTATAGAGCACGTGCACTCACCAGAAAGACAGAGAGAGACAGAGAGACAGAAAGTGAGAAATCACCCCCACACGGGATGGCCACGCCGCAATCCCTTCTCCTCCATTCTCCTCTCTGGATCTTGGGCACACATTCTGCGTGAGTTTAAGCCACCAGGTCTGGGACGCGAACCGAGGTCGACTACATGGGAGTCCAGCGACATAGCCATTACACCAATTGCTAGTCCCTTTGGAAATGAATTTTGAGGGAGAAATAACCTGCATGGAGGCTGACACCCCAGGGGACCCAAGGGGCAGACAGCTCGCTCGTGGTCACTGGGCCTGTGTCCCGGCTGGGCTGAGGGTGGCCTGAGTGTACCTACTCTGGGGAGAAGGGTCTAGGGGTCGCAGGACCTGTGCCCCCACAGGGTAGGCCCCATCTCTCTGCTGGGATGCAGCCAGCACCCTATCTGGGGGTTCACTTTTGCACCCAGATTAGGGAGCGTGCTAGGGCTGCAGGCAGAGCAGGGGAAGGGGTGGAGCAGCCTCAGGAAGGGAAGGAGCACAGGGTGGTTCTGAGGGAGGCGCCCACAGTCTGGGGCCATCACGGGGCCCACTGTGGGTGTCAGCGCTGCTTGGGGGCAGAGTGGAGGGCAGTCCCTGAGCTGGGTCCAGAAAGGCCTGGGACCCTTTGTGCCTGTCTGAGAGCCAGTGGGGTCTGCTCACACAGGAGCACCGACCTGTCGCAGGTGAATGCCCTTCTGCGGGGACAGCTGGAGCACATGGCGGCGGCCCACAACACGCTGGCCCGGGAGCTGGCCAGGACGATGGGCAGCGCTTTCCACCTGCAGGCTGAGCTGGAGCTGCATGAGGTGGGCACTGGGCCCAGAGAGGGGCAGGCCCCGCTGTCACCCAGCACAGTGGCCCCATGCTCTGGTGCCCACAGCTGCTGGGGGGCAGTGGCAGGGCCCAGGGGGAGATGCATTTCCTGCCATACCTGGTCCCCACCTGGAATGGCCACAGCAGTTGGAAGAGTGAGAGACATCTAGCCTTCTCCCCAGGGGCAGGGCAGAACCCGGCGTTGGGGCTCCAGGGGTCCCCCTTAGCCTGCCTCTGGCATGGACCACCCTGCCAGATGGCTGCAGGAATCCTCGCAGGAGCCAGGACTGCTTGGCTGTCCACGAGGCCAGCCGAGGGCCAGTGGGACCCGCACAGACCCCCACACAACCTGAGGCCCTGAGCCACTCAGGCCGGAGCATGGTGCTGCAGGGCTTCAGCCCTGGGCGGGGGGCGCTGAGGTGTCTGTGTCCCTCTCTCATCTGTCACTGGGTGAGGGGCCACTGAAGGACGTGGCCCCAGGTGAGGTGGCCCTCTGGAACATACACCACTTCCAAGTGGAGACAGAAGCCCAAGTTGACCACCATGAGCCTGGGCCCTGGCTGGCCCCTCAGAGGGTTGTCACTGCATGTCCCATGCAGGGTCAGGCAGTGGGGCAGCCGTGCCACCACGTGCCCAGGCCCCAGCTGGCCCCTTGGAGGCTGTCACTGCACGTCCCATGCAGGGTCAGACAGAGGGGCAGCCGTGCAGGCCACCACAGGCCAGTGGGGGCCCTGGGTAAAGCCAACATGGGGAGGCCCTGCTCCCCACCCCGGCCGCCCTGTAGCTGTCCTTCCTGTCCCAGCTGCCATGGACCCGCCACCCCACGTGGGGAGGGGAGGGTATCAGACCAGCAGAGTGATCTGTCACACCAGGAGTCGAGTCTGGGTCACGGGGCCATCTCCTGATGGCAGGACTTCCGCCGTGAGATATTGAGACAGTCACATTCCTGCCGTGGCCCAGCCCATGTGTCACACAGCTGGACTTGTCACGTGGTGACCCCAGAGCAGATTCCACTCATGAAAACGGATGCCCTGGGAGAGAGCCCGGCTCAGGTCGGCGTGTTCGTCGGGGGTCTCCGTTTCCCTACCCTTGGGGAGTCGTCTCCCTGGCGGCAGCCGCTCTCGGCCCTGTAAGGCCCTACCCCCGGCTCTGACCTCTGTGTCGCTGCTCCGAAGGCGGCTCCTGGCTCCCTGGGAAACGCAGCTTGCTGGCTCCGCGGCTCTGGGGCGCTCTGCCGGGTCACTGTGAGTCCGCGGGGCACCTCCTGCACCCTGTGCCTGCTCAGGGCTCCCCCAGCGTCTGAGTCTTCCATGATTTTTGGAGAGTAGCCAGTGTCTCCTTGTCAGTTGCCTGCTCGCGGTCGCCCCGCCATGGGCCACCCCCCACACTCTCATCATCTGGGTTTCTTTCTAGCTCCCTGGCCTACATTCCAGTCACTTCCTCCCGGCTGTCTTCCTGGTGGTCAGTGGCCGCGCTGATGTCTAATCAGAGAAACCCGCCTACTTAGCTTACATCGCAATACTGTGATTGCTATCGTTAAGATGCGCTCTGCTCCTTTCCAAATCGCTTGCCGTGCCGCATTTCCCACACCTGTCATTCACTCGCTGCCCACGGGGAAGCGGGGTCTTGTGCTGTGCTCACCGTCCTGGCACCCGAGGGTTTTCTGGCCCAGCTTTCTCGTGTTTGCTGCCCCTCCGCCCGGGACTTTCACCCCTCGTGTCTTCGGTGGTTTTACTTTTTAACCGAGAGCTGCTTATTTTCCTCGGACTTTTGAAATTCTTTGCAACCTGGGATGAGCGTGGCATTTTCCTGGAAGGACCCGTGTGTTTCTGGGGGCCACATGGAAGTCACTTTTAGCTGAGTCGCTCGTTGGCCACCCAGGCTGTGCGGATTCAGGCTGTAAACTGATTTCCCAACAACGACTCCGAATCCGCGGGGAGAGGCCTCGCTTCTGCGTGTGGCCGGTGCTCGGGACAGGCGGGGTTCCTCAGTCCCCGGGGTGGGTGTGTGTGGGGGTGTGCTAGTTTAGCCTCTGGGCTCTGCACCCCTAGTGCCCATGCGAAGGACAGCTGTGGAGGCAGGGTGTAGGGTCTCCACTCGGGGTGCCCCTGGACTTTCCTCTGTCCCCGACCCCGTGGTCACCGACACTGGCCCTGCCTGGGCTCTCCGGCTCTGGGGCTCTGTGTGCTCCCAGCACTTGGCTGGGAGAACGTGCACTCTACAGAGCGGGCTGAGGCTGGAATCTCACACCTTTAAAAAAAAAAAAAAAAAGAATGATTTTATTTAACTTTACATATTTATTTATTTTAATTTGCCCAGGGAGGGACAGAATGAGAGAGAGTGAGAAAGCAAGCTGCCGGGTCCGGAATTCGAACCGCGGTCAGCACCCTTAACCACCACGCTACCTACCGGCCCTGAACTCACACACGTTTACTAGGTGCCCCCAAAGGCTGCTTTTCCTTGCCCTTCGGTAACGGCATCCACCCCGTGTGGCACCGTGCAGTGGCCTGCACCACAGAAGGCTCCTGCGGGCGCTTCTGGGCACGGTGGGGGTGCGGGCCACTCGGGGGAGGGGTCAGGCCAGGCATCGGGGAGGAAGGAGCAGTGTGGTCATGGAGACGGCAGGACGTGAACGCCCTCTGCCCGAAAGCCACGCTGCGACGAGCAGTGGGGAGCTGCGTTGGCGGGAACAGGCCCTGTGTGGGTGGCCCCCTGGGATTCCAGCTCAGCAAACATGGCAGTGGAGCGTGGGGACAGGGAGGTGATGCGGGCTTTAACTTGGCACACTGTAAGCATGGGACCGCTGCTCACGCACGGCCCCATCTCATTCCTTTCCTCTCACTGGAGACAGAGAGCGAGAAGGAGAGGGAAAGTGAGAAAGCCTCCCACCGAGGATGGCCAGCCGCAATCCCGTCTCCTCTGTTCTCTCAGGATTTTAGGCCTGCATATTTTCTAAGCCGTCAGGGCCAGAACTCAAACCACACACTCAGCCATGCACTTTTACCACCAAGCTCCCCATTTCTACAGTACCCCCCCACACATGTGCACACACACACGCACATACATACATGTGTGTGCACACGGGTGTGTGTGCACATATGCAAATGCATGCATACGCGCATACACACACCTGTGCACACACAGATACATGCACACAAAGCTGTGCACACACGTGTGCACATGCATGCACATGCATGCGCACACACATACACGCACCTGTGCACACATGCATGCACACACAGCTTTGCACACACCTGTGTGCACACACATACAAATGCATGCACACAGCCGTACATGCACATTTGTGTGCACACATGCACACACACGTACACACATGCATGTGCATACACACATGCACACACACGCACGGGCACATGGATTCCAGCAGCAGCCCCTGCTCCACTGCCACAGCCCACCTCATCCTCATTTCGAGAGGCGGCTCCTGTCTCCCCCTTGCCACATGGGGGCTCTGAGCACTGAGCTTCCAGACCCCCCATGGAGGCCCCAGGACCACACAGGCAGCTCCTAGAGCCTTTTCAGAGTGGAGGACAAGAAGCTGTCCTGCCTCGGCTCACTGGCAGGGCAGGGGCCGAGTACTGCAGGTTGGGCACCCCATCCTGAAGGCTTGGTAGGGGCCAGAGAGCCTTAGCTCTGTCGGCACCCCTGCCCTGTTCGGGGACCAGAAGCCACCCACCGGGCCCACGGGCAGGAGGGTGCTGTGGGGCAACCGTGCTTTCTGGGTGGCCACCCTGGCAGAAGCTGGGTGTGGACACAGGGTGCCAGGGGTTTCCTGACATGGCAGGGATGCAAGTCCACGCCAGGGCCCTGAGAGCCAGCTCGATGGCACCTGGAGGGTGAGCAGTCGGCCTGGGCTGGACAAGGGCCTCCTGCTTTCAGACCCGAAGGACGGGCCCAGGTGAGCCTGGGGGCTTGCTCCTGCTACAGAGACAGGCCAGGGCACTGCGGGCACAGCTGGCCGAGCTCCGTGTGGCCACTGAGCGGTGAGTGAGCCCCTTGGGGGTGAGGGTCGCGAAGGCGGGCCAGGCTGGGGCCTGCAGGTATCACCCAGGGGGGAGAAGCAAGGTGGCCGGAGCACCAGGGCAGAGGCGAGAGCAGAGCACGCTGTGGGGGTGCATGGGTGGGCCTCCAGGGCCTCGCGCAGCTCTGTCCTGGGGTCGCCCAAAGCCTCAAGGCATCCAGTACCCCGCTGGCCACGCAGAGTGCTCAGAGGCCAATCCCCATGCCTGCTGAGAGCCCGTCTCGTCTGGCCCATCTCCACCCTCCCTGTTGCCACCCTGGCATTCTGGGACACATGGGGACAATGACGGCACATGGTCCAGTGGCTGCAGGGTCATGGTCAGGCTTGCCGGGCCCCGCCTAGCCGCAGCCTGCCGATGGGTCCTGAGGCTCAGTCTGAGATGTGGCCTGGCCCGAGGTGTGGCCCTTGTCCTCTAGGGACCTGGGTGTCCTGCGAGCAGACGCGGCCAAGACAGCGCAGCGCCTGCACACGGCCTGCCTGAACCTGGACTCCAACCTGAGGCTGTCGGCCAGTGCCCTGGAGCATCAGCTGCAGGACAGGGTGGAGGTGACGCTGCAGCCACACAGCCGCTGGGATGCCGAGAAGGCAGTGCTCCAGGCCAGGTGGGCCCTGGGGCGGATGGGGAGCCCCAGACTCGCCTGCAGCCAGCCAACAGCCGGGTTTCTGAGATGCGGTCTCACCGCTCACAGAGTTTGGGGCCCGGTTTTCACCTGCCATCACCTCCCCGTGTCTCCTTCCCTGCCTCTCCCTGCCCACCCCTGCACGAATGTGCTCTGCCACAAAGAGGGGGCTCGACCAGGTGGAGGGCCACCCCCTCCCTGTGTGGGCGAGTCTGACAGCCAGCACGGAAGGTTCTGGTCCCTCACCTGGGGGCTCTGGAGGGCAGCCCAGCTGAGCATGGGAAGGCAGCCCACCTCCCCACCCCCACCCCCAGTGAGGCCTAGCCTGTTCGCCACGGCCAAACCCACCGAC